TTAGGGACCCTAAACCCTAAACCCCCTGGGTTTAGGTATCAGGATCTAGGGTTTCGGGTTCAGCCTTCGAGGCTCAGGATTTAGGGCCTCGGGTTTAGGGCTCAGGGTCTAAATTCGGGGGTCTGGGGATGAGGGCTCGGGTTTAGGGTTGAAGTTGTGAGCACATCTTAGGGTTTAGGGTTTAGGGTTTAGGGTTTAGGGTTCGTTGCTTCTTTGTGTGGGGGTGGGGGGGGGGGGGGTAAGCTTTGACCATTTGTGCTTTGTTGGGTTTGGACTACTTTCTGGTTTCCTCTACTTGGAGGAACATGGGACTTAGTTGGGGCTATAAGATCCTCCAAGTAAGCTTTGATCAGTTGTCGTTTGTTGGCTTGGACTACTTTCTTGCTTCCTGTAGTATAGGGTCCGGAGTGTTCAGGGTGTAGGGTCCGGGGTTTCTGGAAAACGGTTCAGGGCTTGCGGCTTAAGTCTTTAGACGGCAGTGTTCCGGAAAGTAAGTTGTAAGCCTTAGCGACTCTACTAGCAATAGCTGCGACGAGCCCTGAGCCCTGAAGTAGCACCCTTGCCACAGTCTAGTGTTTAGGGGGCCCTTCCCAGACTTTCCAGTATCCTTCACCCCAAACTTGAAAAGTCACTACATGAATTAAACTACTCCCTAAAAGCCCTGAAATTCGATATTTTCGGCAGGCCCACAACGGGCTGGTGCCGGTGAGTTGGAGGTTCAATGCATTCGGGCCCTCCGTATTAGTCAAGTCGTAAAGCCAAGTACACCGATACCTAAACCGCAAACCCTAAACCCTCAACCCTCAACCTTAAACCCTAAAGCCCTCAACCTGAGACCCCGAACCCTAAACCCCAACCCCTGACCCCCACACTCAATAGGTCCCTCAGCGACTTCCGAATCAGGGCCACCCTTCCGGAGTTGCCCCTTGATCCTGCAATCCCTGGAAGGCTCTGAGACTGTGAAGCACTCAAACCATGTATGGTTTTGTTTTTAGGGTTTAGGGTTTAGGGTGCGTGGATGGATGGATGGATGGCTGGATGGCTGCCTGCCTGCCTGGATGGATGGATGCATGCTTGAGTTGCTTGCTTGTTTTCGCGCACGCGCGCGTGTGTGTGTGTGTGTGTGTTTGTTTGCGTGTGTGTGTGTGTGTGTGTCAGGGTTTAGGGTGCGTGGATGGATATGCTTGAGTTGCTTGCTTGTTTTCGTGTGTGTGTGTGTGTGCGTGTGTTTGGTTGTTGGCTTGTATATTAGATGTTGTTGTGTTTGTTTGCTCGGTTGCTTGGTTGGCTGTGTCGCTGTTTAGTGTGTGAGTGTAGGTATGTAGGTATGTATATATATATATACACATACTTTGGGTGTGCATAATTGCACACAGATCTAGATGATCTAGATCTAAGGGAACAGACAGACAGATAGATAGACACATACAGCCGTATCGGCCTCTGTGCTAAACCCCACCGAAACCTTCAAACAGCTCCGATCAAAAACTTTCGAATGCCATGAAGAATGGGATTAGTTACAGGGTTTACGGTTAAGTTAACAACCCTTCTTGACAAAAGAACAATAACGCAACCCTAAACCCTAAACCCCCTAAACCCCTCTAAAACTCCTCAAGCCGTAAACTTCGCGACCATAAAAACGATCGACAAAGGCTTGGGAAAGCCAAGGTGCAAGGCCAAGGGATGACGTGCAGCTTGCCTACAGGAGGCTTTACTTTCGAGATAATTGAGGATGCAGCGTTTAGGGCTTAGGGTTTAAGGTCCAGGGTTTAGGGTATTCAACCCTAAACCCTAAACCCTAAACCCTAAGGTTTAGGGGCTTAGGGTTTAGGGGTTGGCAGTTTAGGTTTTTGGGTTTAGATGAGTGCTTTTGTTGAGGGAGAGAGTCTCGGGCCTATCTAGGGCGATCCCACCTGTCCTTTCCTCAAAACAGTCGGAATGGTTTAGGGTTTAGGGTTTAGGGTTTAGGGTTTATTATCTAGGAGAACAGGTGAGCTACTGAAGGTGGCATCCTTGTACAGGTGGGGTATGCTTCAATACTTTGTGAAGCAGTGCCGCGATTCACATGCACACACAAGTCCCACCGCAGGTTCGCAGATGTGTTTCCCGAGAATCTGCGAAACATGTTCAAAACATCGGTGAATACAGGTATTATGTCGGAGTATGGAATACTGTGAAAGTCCTTTCCGCAACTCCACATATGGCCATTTCTTGCCAAGTCCACAGATGTTACGGCCTCAAGGCTACTTGTAGAACAACGATGCAACGTCCTGCTATACATAGAACCGAACGTATCAAGCCCGCACTCAAGCACCTATACAGACCCAGAAAAACCAGGACCCACATGCGAGTATAAGAACATATGAACAGCAGTTACTTGCTGAGCTCCGGGATTCTGAACGCTGTAGCCCCATGGTTACTGAGCAGCCCTATTGTCTAACCGTTGATACGCAATGTCCTGATCCCTTAAACACTCGTGATTGGACACGGAAAGCTTTCACAATAAACCGTGGAAGGTGGGTTTAGTGTCCTACACTGTTCTGCATGTTCTGAAACTCCCATGTCGGAAAGCCAAAGCACAAGGCGCAAAGGACTCCCCAAACCCTAAACCCTAAACCCACAAGGCTCAAAGGACTCGTACTGCGGCAAGGCCTAGGCCCATGTAGAAACCCAGAGCACCCAATACATTTTAATTAGGGAATAGACCTTAAATTATAACGGCCTTAAAATTATGATGTAAGGTATATGCCTTAATTAAGGGGTATTGGTTCTCTGGGTAGAACTTAGTTGTCCAGTATCCTAGCCTAGTGAGACTTAAGGTTAACCTTTCGGAGTACGTAGGGTTTGTATTACCCCCCAAAACGCTGAAGGAAAAAAACAAAAATATATATATATATATATATATACGGGCCTGAGAAATTAGAATAGGGTTTTGTGGCTCATTCTACTATAATCATAATAACGAACACCCAAAATAGTGTTGGCAATTACTTAAGCCTCTAAACCCTAAACCTCAAATCCCACACCCCTAAACCCAAAAATAGTATGGGTAATTATTTAGGCCCCTACATTACCTGCTCTACTACGAAGGCAACCCGGAACAGGAACGCGTATCTTGAAGGGACCCTATAACCCTGAATCCTAAACCTCAAATCAGGGTTTCCGAAAAAAGTTAGGACCCTAATATAGTGTCCTAAATAGTAGGATCCTTATTAAGGTTTAAGGACGACATGTATCCTGAAAATGCTTTAAGGTTCAGTTGCCATATAGAAGGTCCTGACTCCTTTGTGTGGTCTTTTGGCCCTGAATCTATAGAAAATCTTGCATCCAACGTATGCTTCAGACTCCAGACATTCCGAAGAGAAATCTGGACAACCGTCTGAAGATTTATGTGCAGGGTTTCGGGAGCATGAAGACTTTGCTGGTGTTTCGGCCTCGACATCAGCACTGAGACCATTGCCAGCTGTTCGCGCGTGACGCTGCCCCGTGCAATTTGCCACCTGCGCGAAAAACCAGCTGCCCTTGACACTTGAGTATAGGACATAGGGGTTCAAGAATGATACCATAAACCCCAAAACCCTAAACTCCAAGCCCTAAACCCTAAAAGGGTTCTAGAATACCATAACCCCAAAACCCTAAACTCAAAGCCCTAAACCCTAAAAGGGTTCTCGGATACCATAGTTTAATTAAGGAATCTTTCGAACTTCCTTGACGGCTCAGGGGGACCTCCCAAGCGGTTTAGGGCTTAGGGCCCGGAATGCATCCCCCAGCGACACTAAGCCGGAAGCCCTAACATGGGGGATTAGGGTTTAGGGTTTAGGGTTTAGGGTGGTTTAGGGTTGTTTAGGGTTTAGGGCTTTGGTTTAGGGTTAGGTTTAGGGTTTAGGGTTTAGGGTTTAGGGTTTAGGGTTTAGGGGGGCCTTAATAGTTAGACTAGGGTTTGGGGGGTATACTGTAGTGTAATTGTCAAAGAATTAAAACAGAATAATCATGAACGCAACAAATAGTATCAATAACGAAAGTTGCGATCATCAAAATAAACATAACAACAGTAATGACAATAAAGCTATAAAAATGAAATAACGGCACATACTAATCAACATACAGTTTATCATAGTAATAACAGAACAAGTGATAGGGAACCGAAAGGAAAAATCTAGGTCATTATCCAGGGTTCTATATTAAACTAGACCCCAAACCCGAAACCTCAAAGGCCAACACAAGCATGGGCTCATGCTCAAAGCCGCATGTGTATATCTCTCTGGGCAAAAACGAAAAAATCAAGAACACGCAAACCAGCTAGACACGCACTCACACGCGCACACTTAATACATGTGTATATATATACACACACACACATACACATACATATACGCATACATGCATACAAATTCACATACATGCAATAAGTGAAAAAAAAGAGAGATAACTATAGGAACCAGGGCTTGGAAAGGGGTGCGGGCTTGCGGTTCTTTTGGTTGGATACCGGCTATCCTGCTAGCTGGAACTGACACACAAAGCAAGTCGTCCCAAACAAGCCAACAAAGTGCAACCCTAAACCCTAAACGCTAAAATTGCACACCTGGCGTATTGGTCGTAGCCGTGCGGTATGCAGGGAGATGGCAGCGTCCCGGTCCTTCTAGCTCAGGGCAGAGGCTTCAAGTTCCAGGTGCTACTTGGAGGATCATGGGATTTAGGGTTTAGGGTTTAGGGTTTAGGGTTTAGGGGCTACTTGGAGGATCATGGGACTTAGTAACTAGGGTTATAAATCAGGTAACTATTCGTATAAGCAATTAAAGCCCCCAATTCAGGTGGTTATATCCTTACTTACTAAGTCCCATGATCATCCAAGTACTGTAAATGATATAAACCCTGCATTACCTTAAGGATCCTAAACTATGGGAATTATGGTATATTCCTTATTACGGGGTAATGCAGGATTTATATTATCAACCGTATTCTAAGGTTTCCTTTAAGGCTTCGTCTAAAGGTTCACTTAATGGTTCTATACAGGTACCTTTTGGCCTTCAGGTTTAGGGGCTTCCTTTAAAAAGGGTACTTTCAGGTAAGGGTACCGTAAGGGTTTAAAGTTTAAGGCATTAAGGGTCCATGTATCCACACGGTATATACTTTGACCCTAAGAGTATATAGGAACCTCACCGACGCCAAAGTCGTACTGGACGGGCACCTGGACCCTGTTGGTTACAGCTCAAGCCGTAAACTCTAAAACCTAAACCCAAAGTCCTACGCCCGAAACCCTCAAGCCTTTAACCCTATACTCCCTCTGGACCTTCAGTGTTTCGAGCCTACTGTAGGGGCTGCGAGTCCGTCCCTTCATACATGGGGTCCGTTAGGGCTTCTTGTGGGGAACCGTTTCAAGATTCCTCTCCGGGGCTTCATCGGTTTAGGGTTTAGGGTTTAGGGTTTAGGGTTTTGAAGCAACAACTGCACAGTAACCCTCGAAGTAGTTTAGGACCCCAAAACCCTAAACCACCGTAACCAAAGCCCTAAGCCTTAAACCTAAGCCTAAAACCTTCAACCCTACACCCTAAACCTTAAACCCTAAACCCTAAACCTTAAAGTCTAAATCCTGAACCTTAAACCCTAAACCCTTGGAGCCCCGCAACCCATACAACATAGACCCTTAACCCAGGTCTGTTTTGCAGTTTAGGGCTTAGGGGTTTTGGGTTTGGGGTTAAAGGGTGTAGGGCAACAGGGGTTTAGGGTTCAGGGCTTAGGGGTTTGGAGCAACAGGGGTTTGGGGTTTAGGTTTTCAAGCTTCAATCTATACCCTAAACTACAAAACCTTAGGTGCTGTGCTGGACCCTAACAAACCCTAAACCCTAAACCCTTAAGCAAGAGCTTCCGAGATCTTCCAATACCCCTTAAGAAAGGATATGCCTTTTATCATATTCGGGATCCTTCTAGAACTTAAGGAATCGTCCTTGATTAAGGGGCTTTGGAAGATCTGGATTAAGATTCGAGGAGGCTCGGATCGCGGCATCCCTGATCCGCCCGCCGGAGGAACCTCAGCTTCAGAACGGCTTCGAGAAATGGAGGAGAACTTCAGAAGGGTTTAGGGTTTAGGGTCGATGGAGAGATGTAGAGATAGAGATAGAGAGATAGAGAGATAGAGAGACAGAGACAGAGAGACAGAGACAGAGAGATAGAGAGACAGAGATAGATGTAGAAATGTAGAAAAAGATACATACAACAAAAGCAAGTGTTTACATAATACATATATATATATATATACATACAATTTCTCTACGCCTTTGTTATTCTATTCAATTCTACCCCGTTCTATTCTAATCCTTCTGTTCATTCTATTCTAAGCTATTCTATTCCATTCTGTTCTATTCTGTTCTGTTACATTACGGAGATACAGGTGTAGCTAAAGATATAGATACAGATATAGGTATAGATATAGATAGGGATGGATAGACACAGATCCGGGTGCACATAAAGATCAAGTTAAAGACAAAGTTCATAGATATCGATGTAGATAAGCAGCTATCTAGCTACCTAGCTACCTCGCTACCTAGCTGCCTAGCTAGCTAGCTAGCTAGCTAGCTAGCTAGCTACCTACCTACCTACCTACGTACCT